TTGATACTTAACAAGAATAAGCTTTGACACATCATTGATTGACATCAATACATGGTAGCTTGTACGAGCCTTGGAGAGACTAAATCCGTACGGTGTTGTTTTCAACACGTGTGTAGTCCACACGGCACTGTCAGCTGTCTTCGGATAGTGAGGGAGAGATTTAATTTTCGAAGAGCTGTATCTGGATCCAATGATGCATCCATACCTACTCCGCTACAAGAAACATGCAAACATGCATGCATGTAGGTGCGCCAAAACCCAACTTGAACAAGCTGAGCTTTCGGCGAAGAAAAAGGGGGGCTATGTGGAGGTCAGGATATGGAGATTCAGGGAGCACAAACACACGTACATAAAGAGTCAGATCCAAGGGATATGTGATAATAGATCACTGTTGGTCCCAAGGGGTCATGACCCTACAGATTCCCAACGGCTGCGAATAGTTGATGAATCTTTAGGAGGATGGGGAAATGAGTCCACGAAGGCTCACCCNTTAAAGAGTAGGATCTGAGGGAACAAGTGATGATAGATTACTGTTCTCCGAGGGTCCCCAACTCTGATGACCCCGACGGCTGCGAAGAGTTGATGGATCTTTAGGAAAATGGGAAAAGGAGTCCACGAAGGCTCGCCCACTCTCCGCACCACCCTAGCTTGACTGAGTTCGCTCGGTCACGCTTGGCATTCCTCGCCACATTGCACCAAAGGAAATAGCCAACCTCCGGCGGCAGGACATAGCCACCACAACCCCGGACTCTCCGCTCACCCAGAGTAGAGGGCGTCCATATCTGTTGAAAAATAAAAGAAACTCGAGTAAACAATCACAGGATGCTTGTACCTCGATCCTTCCTGTAGAGTCCTGTAGAAAGCTTGGTAAGGCTGAGCGGCGTCCGATGCCTACGGAACATCATACATGGAAGCGGAATATTATAGTCTACATGAAATACCATGATTCCCGCTGCTGCACACTACGGTGAAGTGCTGCATGTGCACGATGTTACTAGAGCCCTCGGGTGTACGGGTACATACATACATACAATAAGTGGTCACTTTTCATGCCTCAACATTTTTTTCTCGCGCGGCAGCGAGTCTTTTCTCGCGATTCCTTCTCAGGGGCATGCGAGAGGTTCTTCGGTACATTAACGCTCTCCCGGAGCTCGGTAGGCCTCCGTGGCGCGTGTGGTTGACGGTCAAAATTGCGAAAACGGGCTCTATACCCCGGGGGCGCGTTCTGCGCAGACAAAGCCTTGCGAACAAGTCCTGGAACCAATCGAAAACGACAGTTAATTTGGAACATTTCCTCTTGGACTCGTTGCCATCTCCACATTCATTCATTCATTCCCTGATTCCACATCGCTGTTACTCTTCGCGGAATCGCAATGTTCAACAGTACCTACGTTTGCTCTTTTCCACTTCACAGCGGGCCAAGTGAAACGCTGCTGCTGTAGAAAATCTTTGTGCATGCACCCGCAGTGTTGAACATGTTTTGTTCGTGGTTTTGTTTCGGATTCAACCGGTTCTCATTGGAATCTGCCATCATCACTAGACATCATAGAATGAAGAAGTCTGATTCTTCGCTGGCAAGTTGCTGTCCGCTCGAGCTGGCTCACATGTAGAATAACTACATGCGCGATGTTTTGTACGGAACAAGAGCGTTTTAAAATCGCCCATCGAAGCTATGACACACAACATTTTCGGAGAATGCACGTGTGGTCTTGCGTCACCCGCGGGAGGTTTGACACCCACGTGCCGAAGGTAGACCTTGTATATATACAGCTGCGTGTTGTGCGTGTATGCATGCAGGACGCGCCCGCACCTAAGAACCCTACTTTTGGCCGAGGCTGGGATTCTTAGTTCCCGGCGGCCATGCTACGAATGGCCGCTATGTACCTGGTAGGTTTTGTGTAGGGGTTCCTTAACCGAGCTCACAAATGGTGCTCAAGTTCTTTGACTTTGATGTTTTTCAGGCTCAATGCCAAGTTCTTAACTTCAGGCGCGTTCTGCAATCTCGAACAGTTTTTGCGGCTCATTCTCTCTCTCTCCTTTTCTGAAACGGGCATCCTCAACTAGATGAAACCGGTCTTCGCACTCGGAGCCGCGTTGACAATTGAACTTGTCTTTTTCTTCATCTTCCTAAATCTCCGTCTACGTTGTTGTTGTTGTTTCTCTCCCATCATTGGACTCTGCCGTCTGCCCCTCTGGCCCCTATCCTCCACTTGTACTGGCTAGACGACCCAACCGGGGTCACATAGGAGGGGGGGGTTAGACCCCCTCCTGCGGTTCATGCCTGAGGTATTTTTATCGCGAGAAGGGTACAGCAATCCCTTCCCTCGCGACTTACGAAGTCGATTATGGTTTACTAACAAACGAGCTTTGCAGCGCGTCGCTTTCATCCTAGACCAGGATTTATTTAGCGAGAAAAAAACTCACTCTGCCGGGACTCGAACCCATGACCTGGCCCCCTTAGCAGGCTTCGAGGCTACCCACTAGACCACCGGGGCGACCGGTTTGTACGTATTCCGAGGCCAATGTCCCCAGTGCTAAAATGACGTTCAGCTTTGTCCCTGAATCAATTGGTCCATACACATATACACCTTCAACCAAATTCCTTCGTTCATCATTCTGTAGATTTCCGTACCCTCCGTTTCCCTCTTTTCGTAGATTCAGGTCTTGTCTGTCTGCGAACGCAGCTGATATGTCCACTCCTTGAACCCCTTGTACGCTTTCCAATGCCAACGTACACTATCGCACTCGTCAATACCGCATATACTTTCGTCTACAACCTTTACCCACTCTGTGGGTTGTCTACCCTCGCGTTGTTTGCCCACACCGCCTTGCAAGCTCATATTCAGCAACCTTTCCTCTCCCATATCTTCATACTTCATGCCACTTTCCTTGTGTCTCTCCCCGTTCGTAGGGATTGGAGCCCAGTATCTTGCCTTTCGGGTGCGATTTTTTGTGCGCATGGAACATTCTAGAAGACGATCTTCGCTGCGTTCACCTGCGCCCCTCCAACTCCTTTGTAGAAGTACCTTTTTTGTTGCCCCCATACTTCTCCGGCGTACTCTGGCGGCGGGATGGCAGCGCTTTTATTTTTTTTGGTTGAGGCGTGCATCAAGATACCTGTCCGCGAGAAACGGGCCTAGCTTCCCCGCCCTTACTTTGCCCAAGGGACGCAACAAAGCCAACCGCAAAAACTCTACTTCTTTTTTCTCTTCAATTCAAATCAGCGCTCACAGCGTTCTTGCCGTGTACTCGAACCCGTGGTCACACAGAAAGCTTTCTCCCTGACGTCCACTACCTACCCCTTCTGCAGTGCTTTGCCTTCGATGTTTGATGCGAGAAGAGTGCAGCACTGTCTTGCCTCTGTGTGCACAAGAACTAGCGCTTTCCACCCAGGCCACGAACGGAAGCAAGCGAAACTCACGTTGCAAGAAAAGCTCGCTTACGCCTGGATTCGAACGCCTGACCTCGGCCACCAGAAGGTTTTAGAGGATACCAACTACGAAGTAGGTTTTTTGGGCTAGCGGTGCTCAATACAGGGAGAAAAGTAGGATGGACATTTCTCCAGGCTCGAACCCCACGTCTTGCCCGATGTGCACCAGAGTGTTTTTTTCTATTCCTTCAACTAGCAGCGAGTTGATTTGCAATCAACGCAATTCGTCCACTTCTAAACGAAGTAGTTTGTATGCGGTGGCCGGGGCATGAAACTGACCAAGAACCCTAACGCTAATCCTTACCCTAACCCCAAACTCACACGATAGGTGGTAGGTTGGCACTGGGTGAACATGGTTTAGGTTGGTGTGCCGCATAGGAGCTAGGTGTTGTTGTGGTGTTATCTTCCAGGTTGGTATTGCTTGGATGGGTGCTTATCTGTATTGCTTCCCGACGTGGGTATGTGCTGGGTTGGTGGTGCTTGGAGTAAGCCTAGGTCGTAGTTGGGTGGTAAACGGTGTTCGTGCAGGTCTGATAGGGCGGGACTGCCGACTATGGGTATTCTGTCATTGACGCCCCCCCCCGGGTGTATTGAATGTTCCGAAACTCGTTTTGGGTAGCATGGTTTCCCGCCCGACATTTCTTGATTCTTCCTGCTGTCTAAAGCGTCCAAGGAAATGTTTAGTGAAGTAACTTATACTCGAGCACTTTTTTGTATTTTACTCAACCTTGAGTATAGCCCTTGTGTAAGTATTCCAATAATACTCATGCGTACTCAACAGTTGGAGTAAGTATTTCAAATATATCAATCAATACTTAAGAGATAGAGTATTCAAAACTACTCATGCGTACTTAGATACTCGAGTATTTTACTCTATGTCCTTCAGTAAGTATTTCAAAAATACTCAACCATGCTAACGCCTTTGAGTAAGTATTCCAATAATACTCACCGGTACTCGGATTCTTGAGTCCAGACCTACTCAGCCGCACTCTGGAGGTTGAGCAAGTATTTCAACACTACTCATCATGCGTACTCAGGCATTTGAGTAAGTACGTCATATCTACTCACGTTTACTCAACCATGCCCGGCCTACCGGAGGACTCCAAGTCATGTTCAGTGGTGCTCAAGTTACCCAAGTATACTCACTCGACGTAACCAAGAATACTCTACGTGGGCGCGTACTTTACACGTTGCATACGGAGATCTCGTACTTGGGTAGCACGCAAAAACACAACCAACTATGATATGAGGTTTACAGTAGTTTCCCAGAGAGAAGAGACGGAGTCCTCGGTGCCCCTTCCTGCTGGAAACTGTCTGGTGTTTTGTAGTTGTTGAGGTCGGACACCGTTTCCGCCGTCACAGAGTACACTTCGGAGTTCACCGTGCTGTAAGCAACAGCCGGTTCTCTGACGCGCACACCTCGCCGTGGGATCTGGATCACGTCAGCATCTGTTGTTGCTGCTTCTGCTGCCTCCGAGGGTGCTGCGTCGGCGGGTGCCGCTGCATTGGTAGCAGCTGCGTCACTCATGAACCTCGCCACTACCCCTACCCGATGAGTACAAGTATTCGAGTATGTAGTATCGCTTTAGTCGGGAGTGATGATGTGCCGCAACAGCGGTGTGTGGTGTGTGGCGGTGGTGCATGCAAGGCTAAGGCTCGCGGAAATTGTCCCGCACGACTGGCGTCATCAGTAATCATCTTTTAGTCCGGGGGGTACAGCAGGACTCAACCGCTGAGGAGGTTGAGTAAGTATTTCAAATATACTCATCCGTACTCGGATTGTTGAGTAAGTACTTCAAATATACTCAACCTGTACTAAAGCCATTGAGTAAGTATTCCAAATATACTCACCCGTACTCGAATTGTTGAGTAAGTATTTCAAAAATACTCATCGCTACTCAGGAGAATGAGTAGGTGTTTCAAAACTTACTAATGCGTACCTCAGATACTCGAGTATTTTATTCATCCTTGAGTACATCCTTCATTAAGTATTTCAAAAATACTTAACTTCGACCAAGAAAGCTTCTAAGTATTTCGAAAATACTCATCGTTTCAGTGAGTATTTCAAAACAACTCAGCCGTACTCACCAACCGTATGAGCAATACTTACTCAAAATACTCTTGAGTACGCGTTTAGTAATACTTTATTTAGTAAACATTTCCTTGAAAGAGTCCAAACAGATCTCATGGTGTATCTTGTGGGAGGGAGATTATGTATGGTCCACTCAGGGCAATCCATTGCGTCACATTTTTCGTAGGAACTGTCGGGAAACAACGATATTTGAAAGTACCCCTTTTCTAAAAACGGGCGAGCGCATTTCCCTTTTGAGCGCTGAGTACGAGAGGCAAACAGGCGCGCTCATGTGTCGTCTTCAGGTACAATGGCGCTGCTTTTTCGTCAGCGCAAACCCGGATTTATGAATCATTCGCAGTCTTCCTCCGCTCGCTTTTCCCCACGCGCTACTTACGCACGTATGATGCATCTTATCCCTAGGGAGGTTACCCACGAGTCGTCCGGATGCTCCTTCAAGCCGGGGCAAACGTCGCAGTGGAGGCAGCCACCATGTACACGGCCCTCCACGGTTCTACCGTGACCGGATGCCAAGTGGCTCAGATGCTCATCGACGCCGGGGCCAATAATGTGGATGCCGGGAACGAGGATGGCGTGACACCATTGATGTTTGCTTGCTGCGACGGACGGAAAATTGGCCGTCGCGAAAGTGTTCATCGCGGCGGGAGCAAAGGTTGACGCCCGTGCGGCCAACGACGAAACCGCGTTGTGTCGTGCTTCACAGGGGGGGCACGTGGACATGGTCAAACTGCTCCTTGCTACTAAAGCAAACCCAACGCGAGGGTCGATGAACACGAGGATCGATGGCCGTAAGTGGATATGCTTGCTGTTGGACGCTGCGTCGGAACGCGGACACGAGTCGATGGTGCGAGAACTGCTTAATCTCGGGCTGAAGGCATGCGGCGGCCCTCGTGGCGGCAGGGATGCGCTCTTTATGGCCGCACAAGATGACCGCGTAGGAGTGGGCCATGCTGAGGGATGGGAGTAGTGAATAGGGGCAGGGCCATCGTCGCGGCGGCTGGCTTTGGCCGCGAGGCATCCGTCAGGTTCCTTTTGAAGCAGGAGCGGGCTACGACTCGGATCGATTTCGCCAACACCCGTGACGAGGCTGGCCGCACCTTATTCTATCGTTCCGCTTGGGGCGCGTATCCGAGGATCGGTCGATGGCTTGTTGATGCCGGAGCGGACGAGACGCTGACGTACGTGGTACAGCCTTTTCTGCGTTATGATAACATGCGTTTTGAGGACACAGCCCCGAAACTCGTCCTCCGGAGCCTCAATGCTCAGCCATACCGCTTCGAGCCCGCCACGGACGACCAAATGCTCCGGCTGCAAGCATCCCGCCACTTGCTTTTACAGATGGACGCAGTTCGTGCGATCTCTTGGCCCTGGCCTATCCCTGTCCCCTCAAAACCCCAGGGTGTGAGCGGTGGGACCGTGGCAACATCAAAACCTGTGAAGTAATGCCAACCAAGTGGAGACGAACAGAAAGCCGTCATGTGCTCGCGGCGCAACTCTTCAGGTTGGTGTCGTACGGAGCTTACCCGCGAGGTTCTGTCGTCACGTTTTGGATCCCGTAGGGGTTGATGCTCCTGCTGCCAAACCGATGCCCCCTTCATTCGCCTTGCCTTCATGGAATCGCTCCGCTTACACTTCTAGACTACTTGGTAGTCCAAGCATGCAAGTTGTAGCTTGAGCTGTTGTGATGTCTCGCTTACCGTATACGACACAAGACATCACGCCCCGGGGATAACATTGTGGCGTTTTAAAACATTATCACCGAGTGTTGCATTCTGTGGGGGGGTGATATCTTATGTAGCCCGGGTGATAAAGTGCGGCCGTCGGAGCCATGACGGGGGGGTGATATCCAGGGGGTGTCATACCCCTGCCACACACTTGCAGGGACCGAAAAGGGCTGTGGTAGCAAAGGGGTGTGATACCCAGAGGGTGTGATATCAGGGAATGTGATCCACTGCCGCACGCTAGGGGCCGAAGGGGTGTGTTGGCGCCTACAAAGAATTACATACCTCCCGTGCCTGCTGCCGCACGTGTAGCGGGTGTGATACCCACTGCCCGCAAGTAACTACCGTGTGCTACGGGGCACGGGTGATAACCGGGGACGCGATACACTTCCTGATCACATCATCCCGGCGATGAACGCCAACAGCGCCCTCACCAACTGCAGCGAATGTGTTAGGCAAAAAAAATACTAGTACATCAATAATATTTGATCACTACCGCATGGCACCGCAATATGCCAAGAAGGTGGGGAAGAACAAAAAGCTGAGTTTTGCATGCGTTTATGAACCCTCGACCAACGCGCTGCGAGGCGGAAGCGTCCATTCATTCTCCCCCCCGGGTCTAACCGCTAAGAAAGGAAGAACGACAGCCTCGCTGGGCTTCTGCCCCCCTTGTCCTCGTCGAAGGCCTGATTGGTGCGCATGCACTCTTCTGCATCATCAGGACCTTGGCGTGCTGCTGAGAGTATCGCAGCAGTAGGCTGCTGAGCCAGTGTGGTGGCTACCCCATTAGCGCTCGTTGCTGTGCCAGCTTTGTCAGCAGCAGCTACAAAAGCAGCAGTAGGAGCAGCGAGAGGAGCCGCAGGTGTTGAACCTTGCTTGTGTTGAACCTTGCTCGTGATGACGCGGAAGAACGAGGTTGTGATATGGCGAGCCATTGCTGCGGTCGCTGCCGAACGAGCAGAGATAGCTGCAGTGGGACTCTGCTCTCCCTACACGTTCATGTCATTGGAGGTCTCCATCCGGAGCGGTTGCCCCGTACCCAGAGGTTGTGTTGGGTGTGTTCCTTGCTTAGCCATCCTGTGGGTTGTTGGATAAACCGGGTAGGCCGAAGCTTGTAGGTTTGTGGAGAAAGGCAGCTCGGCCGGTGAGGGCCGAGATGGGAAAGTCTTGTATTAGAGGGAAGAGGGAAGGGCAGAGACCACTCCAGGCCGAGCAGCCGAAGAGTGCGTCACCACACCTATCCGTCACGCAATTCAGATCACTCATCGAATCTCCGAAGAAACCAAGCAGAAACTCCCTGTTCATCCGCGATCTACCAACTGCAATCTCCGTAGATCCATGTCCCATACTCAACCACATTACTATGCTACGAGTATATCTAACATGGGTGATCAGCGACCACTGGTGCTCATTCCATCACCGGGAAGATATTTGTGGGGGCTCCGTGATTTCATGCGGCCTAATCTCAAGGGGTGTGATATCTTTTGTAACCCGGGTGGTGCTTTGGGTCTTCGTTTTAGATCCAAGAATATTAGCACCGGGTGTGGTATTCTGTGAGGGATCTCTTATCTTATGTGGGTGTGATATCTTGTGTCGTATACGGTATGCTCAAATGTTGGTGCGCAGGGCAAATGCCGCTCCTCTGCTGTTCCACGACGCCAAGGCATTTGCGTCAGAAAGCTGATGCTACACTGCCGAAAGTAGTAAATAGTAGTTGTGGTTGTTGCTGTCTTCACATTAGAAACCGTTCCGTTCTCTCCACCCAGTACCTTCTTCTGTCCGTACTACTCTAATAATACTTCACGCGGTCGATTCCCGTGGTCACAGGCCAGCTTTCCCAATAATGGTATACGAACATAATGGCTCTTCTTGTTTTTTCTATAACATTACTGGGTAGTCCAGGAAGTCACATAGAAATCACGGACAGATAGTCCAGGACTCTCCGCTCTTCTCTGCATGCTACTATGTATGCTCGGTAATCATAGACTGGAAAAAGGAAAGAAAAGAAAATGCAAAAAGAAGAAAGCACAGACAGGGAGAAAAGGGAAAGTGAAAGAAACAGACAAGACACACTCCAGAGCCACTACCGTAGCGACAGTGTAGAGCTCGACTCAAAGGGCGTACCGTGGATGTGTAGTTCGAACGAGCCTAACCTGTCTCATGACGCCAAAGAATGAGCGTTTCTTTGTGCTTGAGGTGCTCAACACAAAAGATAGAAAAAGTATCCGACGGCGCAACCGCAGTAGCTGGATAGAATGATACACGCAAGGGAGATGTGTTGGTCGGGTCGTACGCTGCCTGTATCCGGACGTCGACTTACAGGCCATTTTTGCGTCTTTGCTTGGTTCGCTCGTGTTCTATGTTCAGGTACTCGAGGAAGGCGTGACCGCGACCAGTCTTAAACTCGCCGTTCCACGAAAAATGAACCACAGCGTAGCGCTGAGAACTCCAAGGCCAGCTGGTACACATTTCGGGGGGCGGGTGATATCGGCGATTTCGCAATTGAAAGGCGGAAAGAACACAGGATCACACTGTAGTTTACTGGGCCAGGGGGTATGTATCTGTGTTACCGTGTATTGCATGTAATGCACCGGCTTTTCAGGTTTCATGTGAAAATATTTGGTTTCCTCTGGCGGATAAAGAGGGCCACGAATAGGTCGTGAGGGGCATCATCATGCATCTGTTGGGGAAGAAGCTCACAACTTCTCCGCAACAACAGCTGCACGACGTCTGTATCCTTGGTGGCTGTACGTGATGGATTGCTGTGCTACATATGGGTGGATTTGCCACATACATGGCGCTAGGACGGCCATGCGTGAGAAACACGGCGCTTCACTTTGGGTACACCTCTTCGTGCCCGTTGGATATTTTTGCTGCACGACTATGGGTTCCGGTACCCTTGGCAATCTCGACTGCATGTAGACGTACTCCCCGCACATGTGGGATGCTTGACGTGTACTTTGATTTTGTGAGGTTTCGGGGTCCTCACGACCAGGTTGCAAGATATATTACAACTTTAGCGCCCGCGGCTCGAGTATCTTTATTCCTAGGTTATGCTACGAATGACAACTATATAGGTTTGAGTGTAGGAGTTCTTCACCGCGCTCACAAATGGTGCTCATTTTCCTAGATCGAGTTTTTCGAGAGCTCAATTTCTCGACTGCTAAGTTCTGAAGTGCGAGCGCCAACGATAGTTCGTAATTCGGCGTGAGTCAAAAACAAACGACATAACACAACCTTCATAGTCAGATCATACGCGTGTAAAGCCCTTGCTCGTTGGGTTCGGATTCGGCATTATTGATCATCGCGTATAGCATCAAGTGCATGAAGGGCAGCACGAACTTCGAAATGAAGTGGTACTGCGCCACAACTCTCACGCCGAAGGGTTAAGGACGTCCCTGTAGTTGATGTACTACATATCCCCAGGTCGGATTGTGGGCAGAAACCCACACCTCCTTCCCGCAAGAGTATGCACCTCGCGCCGACGACGCACCAGGAAACGTTACAACGTATGCGCTGAAATATACCACAGCACCCATAATGATGTTGAGATAATCACTCCGCCACTGCCTTGTCGACCGAAAGAACACAGGATCAAACGCGAAAAAGCGCCAAAGATCGAGGCACTCGATGTTATGCGAACGTTCCTACCCTTAACAGCAGCGTGCTGGTGTCAATACATGCCTAGTATTGAGGTAGGTGGAGGTCTGGTGGAAGATCACCCCCTTGCGGATAGCTTGGCTGCGCACCGGCACGCGTTACGGTCACAGACGCCACCCTGCACCAGAACATCCGGAAGTCGAAGGGCGGGTAGGTGGAGTTTGAAGAATTCCCAAAGTCAACAAAGCATGCCATGGACATTCAATAGAAAGCGAGTGCCGGCAGGGTGATGAGTGCGACTTCGTTCATCAGGTAGCTTGCGATCAGTCAAACAGCTGTTAAACTGGAGCATAGGAACTCGGGAGTCAGAAGAGATTATTACCCTGTGACCGAAAGTCCACGACAGAAGCAGACAGCGCCTGAAGTGAAACCATTACCTCAATAATTGTGCCGCACATGACGGGCGACTACATCTGGCGCCCGCAGTTTAGGAACATCAGTTTAGGTTCCAGACTCGATGTGCAATGCCAGATTCTTTTGATTTCAAGAATCATTTTGTTGTTCCTTTGCCTCCCGTTCACCGCTCATCTCAATCAGCCCCTTCTTATGTCCGGCCATAGAAACGAACCTCCACCAGCTGCCAGAACGCAATTTACGGTGCCGGGTCTCGCTGTCGCTCGAGTTCAAGGTGTTTGCCACCCCCGCCAAAAGAAGTGCCGATGTCCAAAAGAGGCGCAAAACGGTATGAGGGGGTGATTTGCCCCCCACGACAGCGTTTGCGTCCCATCACAGAAATGATACGTAAAACAGCATCTTGAATGACTACGCGTATCTCGCCCCCCAGTTGCAGACGAACAAGGACAGCACAAGTTTGTCTTCGCGGAACAAGGACGTGGTGTCGATGGACTACAGCTTGACGAGCATCCAACAACGCCTGCGCCCGCTACAGCACGGTGCGTTTCTGTTTTCATACCTGACCGCCTTTCCAATAGCGTCCTCCAATGCCATTCCTCTTGCGAGGTACGCCCCTAGAGAGCCGAGAAAGGCATCGCCGGCCCCGACGGTGTCTGTGGCAATCACTTTGTCTGCCGGGAACCGCTGGTACCCCTCAGAGGTAGAGGA